TTCGAACCGCATTCACCATCCTATCTGCGATTTCGTAGCACATAGTGACTGTATCTATATCCCACAAAGCATAAGAATATCTCGTCACCACCACCGTATCTCCTACGTTGCTTCCCTTCCTTTTAAAGAAGCCACGTCTTGCGGGGTATGTCGTCACAAGGTTGACAGCGATTATGGTGCATACACTTGCAATAAGTGTTGTGGCTATGCTGTTCACACAAGATGTGCATTGCGTAGAGACATATGGGACGGAAAAGAATTAGAGGGAGAGCCAGGAGAAGAAGATGAAGATGTCGAGCCGTTCAAGAGGATATCTGATGAAATAATTATCCATTTTTCTCATGATCGTCATCATATGATGAGATTTGAGACCAGCCGAGTTGTTTATGACGAACACAAAGTTTGCCCAATGTGTGCCCTGCCAATCTACGAGGGGAATTTCTATGCATGTGTAATGGAATGTGATTTCCTCCTACACGAAGCATGTGCATGTGCTCCCCGTACCAAGCTCCATCCATTGCATCCTTATCAACTTACGCTCGAGGCAGTCTCTGATAAACAGTATTACGTGCGTTGTCATGCATGTACTCGCAAGGTTAATGGTTTCAACTATGTGTGTAAAGCTGCAAACCAGTTTTTCGAAGCCTACCAACTAGATGTACGGTGTGCCTTGGTTTCTGAGCCCTTCCAATATCAAGGACATGAACACCCCTTATTTCTGTCTTTAGACCCAAAAGAAAAGCCCTCGTGCCACATTTGCAAGGTAGCATGTGATGTAAACATGGTATTAAACTGCATTGAATGTGACTTTATTATATGTTTCAGTTGTGCAACCTTACCATACACCGTAAAGTATAAACACGATGAACATTATCTCACTTTCTGCCGTGGAGATGAGGCAAGTGGCTCGGATTGGTGTGAGTTATGCGAAGGCAAATTAACAATTGGAGGAAAACAAGGTTTCTACAAGTGCGACGATTGCTGCACCACGCTTCATATTCATTGCTTACTCGGGTGCGACCCATATATGATGTCTGGTATACCGTTCGAGGATGTACAAGGTCATGAGCTGCTTCTTCTACCTAACCATTTGCCTACTCGACCAACTTGCAATCTCTGCCGTAGTCGTTGTCCGTATCCAATATTTTTGGAAGATGAAGAGAAAACAATATGTTCTTTTAAATGTGGCATCGACCACTCATATTTCCAAGTATAGAGAACACCTGCAAGAAGCATAGGCACCCATGTGTTATCCCTTTTCTTTTTCTTTCTAGGTCTTCACCTGCACGTACGCTTTGTTTTTTTCATATTCATTTTTTACGTTTTAAGATTGTTAATTTGTTTTTGTACGCTCTTTTTTTCTTACCTTGTTTGTATGTGTTTAACATTACATAGTTTTCTTTTTCGACAACAACGTTACATAGTCAAAAGTGTCGACACTATATAAAATTACACATAGAAAGTGAGTGAGTTAACAGACGTATTGCTAATAGACCATTATTCATTAGAGTAATGCTAAAATGCTAAAAGCTTGCGTCGTTTTAAAATTTAGAGTTTAGACGAACCAAGTTTCAATGATCACAATAAAAGCTTTATTCATGTACAATGATGTATATATATATATATATATAGATTTCGAATTCACTTCATACTCTTCTACTTCTTTCTAAGATGCATTTTCTTTCTGGCTTATATTATTAGCAAGTTACCATGAATGAGCTTCTGACCGCAACTCTAACCGCACCGACCACACTCAGTTGCCTTGTCTCTGGTCTCACTTCTTCACTTTCAGCGTTTCTGCAACTTGCTTCTACCTGAACACCCACAAAATATGCTGTCTGAAACCAAACATAAAATACAGAGGAATCAATTCACTGGATTCTCAAAACTCATAGACTCATAAAGAGGTTTCTTTTATTCATTAAGATTTTTAACTGATTCTAAATAAACCATAACTAACTTACATGATATGGTAACTGAAACCGAAATGATAATGAGATACAATGGACTAAGTTACAGGGTATACCTTGCCTGAAGCATTACGAACTGGTGATATGTGAAGAAGATTCCAGAATGTGCTCTTATCTTTTCTGTTACTGGTAAAACATAAATGATCAGAACCAAAAAAAAGTTATCAAAGAAACATAGATTCTTTCGCAAAATGTTTTGAAGAGATACCTGTAATTTAGTATTTGCACTGTGCATGATTGCCCCTTTAAAATACACTCCTTCATCTAAACCAAAAACACACTCACAGTTTTCAATCACATGAAAGTTGCAGCGCATTATCAAGTAAAATAAAAATAAAATCAAAAACGAAATACTACCTCGTATAGTACTGAGGAATCTGTATCAACTCCAGTCAGAAATCTACAGTTTTGTCCCAACACTTCTTGTCTCTTGTAACCTGCAAACATTGAAATAAATAAATAAAACTATGTCAAACATCTAACAAAAAGGTTTTTGCTAATTTCAAACCTCAAAATGGTTCTAACAAAACCAAAACAAACAAAGACTCACCAGTCAATGTCAAAAATGCATCACTCGCATAAACGATAGGCATGTCTGGTAAGCACGGATTGGTTCTGTAAAGTCCCACACAAGAATTTCATGAGTAAAATCTATAGTAGCAGACTTGTAACTCCATAATCAAAGCAAAACAAAAAAACAAAAAACTCACAATACGAAACTTTGTTTGATTCTACCGAGAGAAATAACTAACGACGAGCTTAAGCAATCTGCACCACGCAAGCAGTATCGCTTCCCACAGACTAATCCTCCGCTCAACTCACTGTATCGCGCCAAAATAGATAATACATTGTTAACTGCTTCAACAGCTTTTAGCTTCTCAGACTCACTCGCTTCACAGTGTTCCCAGTTCTCTAATCCTGCAATGTAACAATGATCGAACAAAAGAATCAAGCTTTGGCTAATTTTGGAACTCTTTGAGAAATTTCATCAAACAAGTAATATGCATTTTCTTGAAACCCGAACCTTGTTCATCACATTCAACTGGTAGAGCTCGATCCTTACGCACAAAAGCGCCCAAGCAAACCTCTCTTCGACAAGAACCATACACCAACTCGGAACGATCCGACCCATCTCCGCTAAGACCCGACCCGTTTCTCATCTTCCGGTGATGATGCTCTTGCCCCGAGATCGGGACCTGAACCGCCACGAATTGGATCACTTTCCCATCCATTTTCTCGAAAACAGGAATCATATGAAACAGCATCCAAAACGGCGATCCGGATTTACGGTAATTCAATAGGTTCACTTGAATCGGTCTCTCCTCACGAATCGCCTCGCGAATCTCCATGATCGATCTCCGATTGGTCTTAGGCCCCTGAAAAGCCCTCCCATTTCTTCCGATTACTTCTTCCCGCGAGTACCCAGTCATTTTCAGGAACCCCGGGCTCGCAAAAACGATCGGGTGACCCGAAATAAACGGGTCGGTGATCGTGAAGCTGTGAGGGAGCTCGTCTAGAGCTTCTTTGATCCATAACGAGTAACGAGCGTTAAATGATTCTTCAACCGATTCTGAAGATTTTGTTATGGACATAATCGTAGCAAACACTCGATGGATAGTATCACTGTTCTTCTTCTTCTTCTCAGTCTACTGTTCACTGCCAATCCCATGTGGGTTTTGAGGCGAAGCTGAAAACTTTTTCTTTCGGGTGAATCCGAAACACGAACCCCTGATTACAATTGAATCGGAAATTCAAGTAAACCCAGATGTTTTCATGGAGAATCGCACCTCTTAACGCCAAACAGAGGAAAAGCAAGTAAAGGGGAAGAAGAAGAATAAGATGTCTAGGGAGTGATTGAAAGATGATGGAATCGAGCAATTAGTGTCGATTGGGTACGTATAAAAGAAACTTTCTTCTTTCTTCTTCTCTTCTCTCTGGAAATTTTAATTCTTTCGTTTTCTGTGGCTATTGGAAGAGGACGGTTTTTGGTTATTGTCGCATCTCTCTGTTCTTGTATCATTGATATTTTTGTAAATATAGATATTTTTTTTGTTATCTGCCAGTTTTGTTTTCTAATTAAGTAACAAGTTACTAAATAATCATGAATTATCTCGCCTAATCATGAATTTATCCACAAGGATATAGGAGGATAAGTGTACATAATACTTCATTTTTGGTCTATCCAACTTTTGATTTCGGTCTTTAGTAAAAAATAAAACCAGTGTTTAAGATATTTTCTTAAAACTATCAATAACACTATCAATTAATACAATTATGAAACATGAAAAGGATAATTTACATAGTTTAAAAATCCTGAATTTTTAAAAACGTTCAGAATATGACCTCCTAATTCAGAATTCAATACTTGTCTTCAGTACATCAGGAATTATTTATGTTAAAATCATACCGGATATTTCGCCTAAAGTTTTTTTTAATATATATTTCGGCAAATTAATCACCTCTAATTTGAGGAGTGTGGGTCCTCCAAACCGAGATTCCACGTAAACAAAGGCATGAAAAACGACAAAAAAATCTGACTGTTCGTACTTATCTATTTCTCGTGTCGTGTGGCTTCGCTTGAGTATCGAATCGATGCAAGCTCGCTTACGTGGCAAATTACACTGTACACTAGCCTATCCAAATGATACCACGTGTCCTTCAGTCATCGCTTGTATCGACTGGACTAACAGCTTAATTCGGCCCATTGGGCTATAGTGCCCCTAGATCATGGATCCAAACCAAAACATGTTCCTAAAACCTTATTAAGTCTTCTGCAGGAAAATTCCAATAAATTTTAGAGTCAAATTCCAATGAAAAAAGTAAGTTGTAGATGAGACTTTTAATCACTTGGTCACTTGGCTAAACCCACATATTCGTTACGTACTAATTATTTCTCTCGAAAAAATTGTGAACAAAATAATAAGAATTGAGATTTAAATATTTCAAAAATGTATCATCTAAAAATATAGTCTAGAAATAGTTTTCGTTATAAGAATATAAAAAAACTAAGTAGACACTCTTTTTAACAGATTCTAATGTTTATTGTTTCTTAACATCCGTATTTTAATATCTTTGACGTTTTCAGAAATTTAAAAGAATGATGAGTTCATGTATTAATAGTTAAAGGTTATTTTATATATATAATTGACTATTTACTGAATTCATTTCTCAAAAACAAGAAATAACACACTCAAAAGTAATATTAGGTTAAGAGACAAAAATAACTGAAAATATTCCACAAAAGAAGGATAAAACAAAGAAGGAACAATAAAAACCAGCCAAACTAAAAATGGGTTTTTCAAGAAAACAAACACAGAGTTTTAAAAAAATCAATGGTTACCTAATAATGACTCTGTTAATCGTTAATCCTCCATTAACGTCTTTCATCTTCCCTCTCTCTCTCTCTCTTTCAAGTTCCTTGTTATTTAAGTAAACGATGAATCCGATAATCTATTTCTAACCCTGGGCCGACCAGAAAACTTTTTGGACGACCCAAGTTTCAAGGGTTCTCTTCTTCACCGTAAAAATAATAAGAACATAAAAAATCTCTCACCCTCGGTTTTAAATGGCACTTTCTTATTTGAATCTTGGGAGCTACGTTTTCGCCTTGGTCTCCTTGTCAATCGCCGTCGTGGCTCCACCGGTTCAAGCCCACGTCGCGGTATTCGATGAATACTGGACGCAGCGTCAAACCGACGCTTTGCGACAAACCATGGAATCTTATGAACCCAACCCGTATAACGTCACGGACCACTTGAACTACCATGCCGCATTGTGGGTTCTCGTTAATTAGGGTTTTTAAAAAATCTGTCTCTTAAACCTAACTTGTTACGGAAGCTAACTTATCTTTCTTTTCCCTCAGAGCAATGGAGACGACTAGTGGCGAAGAAAACGGAACAAGGAGAGAGCTCCGACAAGTTAAAGGCGGTCGGAAAACAAAGACACGTGGCGGAAGGTACGCATCGTTTAACGCGATCGATAAATGCTGGAGAGGAGACAAAAACTGGGAGAAAAACAGGAAAAAACTCGCTGATTGCGTCCTCGGATTCGGCCGGAGAACAACCGGAGGCAAAGACGGACCGTTCTACGTGGTAACCGACGCATCAGACGACGATCTCATGAATCCGAAGCCAGGAACTCTAAGACACGCCGTGACAAGAGACAGACCACTTTGGATCATATTTGCAAGAAGCATGATCATAAAACTGCAACAAGAACTGATCATAACCAACGATAAAACCATCGACGGTCGTGGAGCGAGTGTTCATATAACAGGAGGTGCAGGTTTAACGTTACAGTTCGTGAAGAATGTGATCATACACAATATCTACATCAAAGAGATCAAAAGGGGTTTTGGTGGGTTGATTAGAGACTCTGAGAATCATTTTGGGCTTCGAACAAAGAGTGATGGAGATGGGATTAGTATATTTGGAGCGTCCAATATTTGGATCGATCACGTCTCGATGACCAACTGTTCTGATGGAATGATCGATGCTATCATGGGATCCACCGCTATTACTATCTCCAACTCCCATTTCACCGACCATAAGGAGGTAAAGAAAGGCCAAAAAGCATAAAAGCCTAACCAAAACATTTCTGAGATATGAAACATATACAATTTTTCCCAGACGCAAGATGTCTAATGCAAAATATCTTGCAGGTGATGCTGTTTGGGGGCAAAAACGAGGATGTAATCGACAAGAAAATGCAGATAACGGTTGCGTTTAACCATTTTGGTAAGAGATTGGTTCAAAGAATGCCAAGGGTTAGATACGGTTTGGTCCATGTAGTGAACAATGACTACACTCATTGGGAAATGTATGCAATTGGTGGAAACATGAACCCTACAATTATAAGTCAAGGCAATCGTTTCATTGCTCCTCCTAAAGAAGATTGCAAGCAGGTTTTAAAACATTTACACATCTCTCTAATCAACTAATAATCACTACTACACTAGATATGAGACACAACTGAGATAATTTTTGTTTTAACACAAAAATGCAGGTCACAAAGAGAGAGTATGCACCTTATACAGAATGGAAATCATGGAACTGGCAATCAGAGAGAGATTACTTCTTGAACGGAGCTTACTTTGTGAATTCAGGAAGGTCAAATGCGTGGAGCCCTGCTCCCAAAAATCCAATCCCTAGAAAGTTTGCGATCCGGCCTCAGCCAGGGACAAAGGTAAGAAGACTCACCAAAGATGCTGGTGCGCTTGGTTGCAACCCAGGCAAGTCCTGCTGATGAACAAAAAGTCCCTGTTCGTGTGTTTGTGTGTGTTTCCGTGTTGTTATGGTAACAAACCAAAAAAAAAAAAAAGAATTGTATTTGTTGTGGATGGTGTTTGTAACGATTTGTGCATAATGCAGTACGGATAATTTATTAGGCTTCATTATTTTTTTGGGAGAAAAAAAAAAAGCACATTCTTTTGTTTTTCAATCTTCTTTCTTGCCCCCAAAGGACATGAATTTTAAACACCAATACATAATAATCACTCCTATTTTCAGTATCCTATACTACATATCTGTTATATCATCAAACTTTGATGATATATGGTACCATCTGAATCAGCCTTCAAGTAGCTCTAGCTTATCGCTTTCTTCCAAACCCTGAAACATGTCAAAAGACAGATTGAGTGGGTGAAGGTTTTTGTTGGAGGTTCAATGAATCTACTTGCTGCATCTGATTTCTATCCGTACATGATAACATATATTGATCAGTGAATACCTCTGAGCTTGATGTTTCTTCGGTTGTAAGTACTATACATGTGTTTGACTTCCCAGAAAGTCGAAGCTTCTCCTGCAAAAACCAAATGGAGGTTATCATTAAAAGTCCAGTTTAGAGGTGAGACCAGCAGATCATTGCTACGAAACTTTATGCATATTCATTCATATGTTTCTTTTCACAAGAATACTTACCTGCATCAGAATATCCGGCAGCTTGTGATTTTCTCCACCCATAGAGTCGCATAGATACATTAAACCCAAATTTGCAATATTCTGCCCAGAGACAACAAAAGTAGCAACAAAAGAAGACACGTGAGTAACTTTGATCCTTTACCTTATCAGCCCCACAATTAGCTGCCATTGATCACTACAAGGCTACAAATGTTATCGAGCTGATAATATTCAGAGCTGATAAAGAACAAGAAGATACCTGCTTGTACTCAATACTATCTAATTTTCCACCCTGAAATAAAAAATGTGAATCAGATTGAATCAGTATGTAACAACGACCACTAGAAGCTATGTATTTTTTTGGTTTGCTATAAGTAAGGAAGAGAGAAAGAGTCCTATTCTTGTAGCTAAAACCGAAGGAACAAAAAAAAAAAAAAAAATTAGACAACGCACCATATTACCAAACATGCTATGCATTGCGTCAAAATCATCTCCAATGTTAGCAAGATCCTCAAGAGCCAAACCCACCTGTTCCATATATCTGAAACTTATCAATACCACCCTAAAAAGAGAACAAATCTTGAAACTTGTTAATCTTAATACAATGTTCGCACATTATTTCGGACTCCCTTTAAGAGATCCTTCTGCAAGTCAAGCTTATCGTCCGTCTTCTTAAGCTTCTCGGACAAGTGCTTCTTAGCACTCTAACCAACAACATAAGCACAAGCACTATACAATTAGTATCCTTTAAAGATCATATCCAAGGCCTGATACAAGAAGCAACAACTGATGGAAGAATCACCCACAGAGATAGCTTCTGAAACGGTGTCCAAATGCTTTGTCAAATTCGCCACTGCATTTTCCATGTTCCTCTTTGTTATGCACATGATGTCAGAGAATGAAATCCCCTACCACAGAAACAAAACACCAGCTTCATACAAAACATCCCAAAAGACAGATACAAGGCTCTAACGATAACTGTCGTTGGAGCTCTATAAAGATACCTTGAACCACATGTAGCCATAACCTATAGCTCCCAATGTGGCAGCCGGGACTATAAATGGGGTAAAGTCAGCTGGAAAGTGTAGCAGAGAATGTCAGAGATTACATCAAAAACACATACATTTCTTCAAAAATACCAAATCAAAACTAGCGGGGAAACAAACCTCCCTGAGCTCCATTGACGACAGTTATCTGCCGCGACGAGGCCAATTGCCGAACCTCCATTGCTAAACGTTGCATCTACAAAAACCTCACACTGTTACTTTCTATTCACACATTCCCTTCACCTCAAGATCACACATCAAAGTTTGAGATGAGAAACATAAAAACAAAATTACCTGAGTAGTCATGGCATCAGAATCGTCATCGGAATGATCTCCGGATTTCTCAAATCGCTTAACAATAGCCTTCATAATGACCACAAAAAAAAGCCTTTTTACTATTCCCTTCTCATTCAAAATTCAGAAGAACAAAAGATGCTTTACTAAAAATTGATCGCACCTGTAGCTCTCCCAAAATATCCGCCATTTTTCCATTCTTGACCAGAATCGTACTAGTATAACCTTTAGATTCAGATAACCAATAAGCAAAAAGGATTATATAAATCTACAGAAACGCCACAGTCATGATCGAGGAACCCTAGTTACCTGCTCCAGCTAAAACCAAAATCTTCGATAACCCAATACCAGATTGCATAGCCATGGTTAAAAAAGCCTAACAAGTCAGAAAAAGTTGTCTTCTTCGTCGAGGTCTGAAATTTTGGCTCGCCGGCGTAAGAAACCGTCAAGCTTAGCTCAATGTCGGCTTTTATTGAACGGTGTCGTTTATACATTTTCGTAGTTGTATAAATTCTTTGACCCTGCACTAAACTAATCCGGGCCGTTGATGACACACAGAGGCGTAATAAATAAATCTGAACCGTGGATGTAAGTAACTTAGTCTACTTTGTAAAATTATTGGGCCGATTTTGTAAGGTTCTTATTATTATCAGGTAAAAACGAAATTTTAACAAAAAGTTAGTCTCTCCTTGGTCGAAATTTGAAAACCCTTTTCCTCAGTTGTATCCCAGTGGAGAAGACGATGACGCAGCAGTATCTGCAACTCTTATCTTCTCCTCCAATGGCGGCAAACTCCAAAATCTTCATAAACCATCGGTTTACAGACTCTCGTTTTCTTACCGCCGGTTCTTTCTCCGGGAAGCGGGATGGTTTCGCCGTGAAACCGACGGCGAGAGTGAAGCTATCGGTAAAGTCTCGCCAAGAGGATTACTTCGAGAAGCAGAGGTTCGGAGACTCGTCTTCTTCGCCGCCTTACTCGCCGCAAAATGGTAAAGCCACTTTAAAAAAAGCTTCTTTCGAATTCCGAGGAATTTTGCAAATGGAAGCTTGAAATTTCTAAAGAAAAATGTGACCTTTAATATTGAAAAACTAGGGCTCATAATTGTGATTCGTGTTTGTTTGATTGTTTGGATTAGCGGAAGGATCTTCTCCAAGATATTATGTGGGTCATTCGATTTACAAAGGGAAAGCTGCTCTTACAATAGAGCCTCGAGCACCAGAGTTTGTGGCTTTAGAAGTATGTCTCTTTTCCCAAGCTCTATTGAATCATCTCTCTATCGATTCTTAGATTGATCTCCATTGTCTTCATTCAGTCTGGTGCGTTCAAGCTTTCAAAGGAAGGTTTCTTGCTGCTTCAGTTTGCTCCTGCAGCTGGTGTTCGGCAATATGATTGGAGCAGAAAACAGGTCTGGTTTTATCTTTAACTTAGTACTTCATAGAATGTGATAATGATCATCATTTAATTTGGTGAAAAAGAAGCAGATTATGTACTTTCTTTTTCTACTATGTCTAATGCTTTTATCTTCAACTTAGTATTGTATGGATTTTGATAAAGATCATGACTTGGTTTGGTGAAAAAAAACAGCCTTTTCACTTAATATTATGATTGTGGTAAGATCATGATTGTGATGCTGAATGATGCAGGTCTTCTCGTTGTCGGTTCCAGAAATCGGTAATCTAGTGAGCCTTGGGCCGAGGGAATCATGTGAATTCTTCCATGATCCTAATAAGGGAAAGGGGTATGATTTGTGATCCTATGAGGTCTATTTCATTACACAGATTGTGTTCTTTTACTTCTGATTCGTCATCGATTTTGTGTTTGTTTATTGTAGGAGTGATGAAGGTAAAGTGAGGAAAGTCTTGAAAGTTGAACCCCTCCCAGATGGTTCTGGCCGCTTCTTTAACCTGAGTAAGTAAATGAGTATTTCTTTCCTTTTTTCTTGGACTCCTGATTTCGTACTTTCATGGCTTGAAAGCTCTTCTGAATCTTCTGATTTTCCATTGTTGTTTTTATTATCAAGGTGTCCAAAACAAGCTATTGAATGTAGATGAGAGTGTATACATACCAATCACTAAAGCAGAGTTTGCTGTCCTTATCTCTGCTTTCAACGTAAGCCTAGCCCTTTCTCTCTCCCACTCTATCTCTCTATGAAAAGCCTTTGCCTTTTAATCTAACTTTATTTAAACAATTGTATCGCAGTTCATCTTGCCCCACCTTATAGGGTGGCAAGCATTTGCAAACTCCATCAAACCAGAAGACTCTAACCGTCTTAGCAATGCGTCACCTAAGTATGGAGGAGACTACGAATGGAGTAGATGATTGGCGGTTTTTGTGTTCATCCCATCTTTTTGTTATTGCAATCAATGGAGTCACCACGAGCTGATGGAGACAACAAAAGGAAAAAGAAAGTAGCAGTATTGACTGAAGTAGTGTTTAGACCAAATGGGATGTGTTGTTGTGTAGGAAAAACTCATTTTCTGTGTTAAGACAATTTGTTTTGATTCAAGAGCAACGGTTAGAATTTTGGTAATACAAGTATCAACTTCCTCATCCTCTTGTCCTATTTTCTATTTACAAATGATATTGATCGTAAACTCTTCCCTACACCTCTATGGTTCATTGTAAGAACTAAGAAGGCATATAGGCCTCTACAAGGAGCGTAGCCAAGCTTTCAATTCCGAGCTCGTAAACCAGGTGATACAAGCAATTCAGGAATGCATTTGCGGTATAGAAGAAACTAAAGGACCTAAACGGCTAAACCCAACAAAGAGAAAGAGATCATTGTGTGGATTATTGCATTCAGACATTAAATCGATTGTAATACCCCACACAATGAGCTGTTTCTTTTTTGTTGGGTTAGGTCCTTCAGTGTCATCTACTTTATGGGCTCCAAATCAAGAGCACGCCAATTCTCCCCAAAGAGAGCCCTCTCTTTGCTCACACTAAACCTCTCTGCATCGCCAGACCATATACTTAACCAGACAAACTAATACCTGGAAGTTTTACCAGTTGCTTCTCATCTATTACATGCCTGATACTTTCCACATCTTGCCATCTTTCTAATGCAGCATATATGCTGGACAAGATCACAAATGGAGCTGAATTCTCTGGCTCTAACTCTGCTAGCTTCATCGCCACTTCCTCTCCAAGCACTGGATCAAGGTGTTGCCTACACGCACCGAGCAAAGAAGAGTAAACAGAAGATGACGGTTCTGGCATTTGATCTATTACCTCCTTGGCTTCTCTTAATCTCCCAAAGCGACCCAAAAGATCAACCATACAACCAATGTGCTCTGTACTAGGTTTAAATCCATATTCTTCCCGTATCAACCTAAATACTTGAGATCCCTTCTCGACATCGCCACAGTGACTACACGCAGATAGAACAGCAGTAAAGGTTGCTAAACTCGGTTCTACGTTCTCATCTCGTAGTAGGTCAAAGATTTCAATTGCAGATTCACACTCTCCATGTTTACCATAGCCAGATATCATAACGTTCCAGAACACGGGATCCTTGGGTTTCGGTTCAAACCCATCAAAGATCCGGCGTGCCGATAACGAGAGCCCACATTTCATGTACATGTCGATGAGAGACGTCCAAACAAATATATCCCTTTCAGCTGTAGCTTTAATAACATGCCCATGGATCTCTTTCCCGTTCTTCACAACCCAAATATCCGAACAAGCCGATAGAAGGCTAGTAAGACATTTCAAACTAGGAACCATAACTACTAGTAGCATTCTCTGAAAGAACTTGAAAGCTTCAAATACTTTCCCTAATTGTGAAAAGCCACTGATCAGTGAATTCCACGTCGCTGAATCAGGTTTAAGCCCCTCGGAATCCAGCTGTTCAAACAGTTCAACAGCTACCTCATGTTGTCCATTAATCATCATCCCAGAGATAGCAGAGTTCCAAGCGATCAAGTTCCTGGTATCTTTCATCTCAGTGAAAACATCGTATGCTGATTTCCAACAGCGACATTTCGAATACATATCAATGAGAGCTGTACCGACCATTGTATCAAACCGAAACTCTCTTTTCGTGACAAGGCCATGAATTTGCCTTCCATACTGGAGATTCAAGAGACTAGCGCAGGAAGATATTGCATTAATGAGAGTAACAGCGTTTGGTTCTTCACTTGAAAACTTCCTCATGAGATTAAAGACACTAGGGACCAAATGCGGAACTCCATTCTCCATCAATCCCGAAATAAACGCATTGAAAGTCACTACACTCTTATGAGGCACCTTTTCGAACATTTTCGCAGCTAAAATCCACTCTCCGCATCTCGAATACATTGAAACGAGAGATGTTCCAACGTAAACATCCATCTCAAAACCTGATTTCATCGCCAAACAGTGCATTTGCATCCCTCGTTCGATATCCACGCAACCACCCAAAACACTAGCCACTGTAACCGAATTCGTCCCAGAACCAGAAACCCTAGCTTCCCCAAACATCCTAAACGCCTCTCTGGTAAACCCATTCTCCATAAGGCCAGAAACCGCCGCGTTAACACTAGCAATACCCCTCTCAGGCATTTCGTCGAGCAGCTTAAGGGCATCCGTTGTCTGCTTCACCTTCATGTACATACTCACGAGAGCTGTCGCCGTAAAATAATCGACGAAAAACCCAGTCTTGATGATATGGGCGTGCAAAGTTCGACCTTGGATAACGTCACCGAGCTTCGCGCATGATTTGAGAAGAGGCGGGAATGTGAACTTGTTGGGAGACTGAGCAGAATAGCGACGGCGCGTGAACAACACCGCCTCTAGCGTAACCTCACCGGTCACGAGATTCGTGACTCGGTGTCTCGTGAGGTTTATCATCTAGAGACGCAAAATCGAGCATCAAAACGCATCAAAGCTCCTCCATTGTCGACAAAAACACTAACTTTTCCAGTCAAATAAAATCAAAATTCCCGTATTGTAGGTTTAGGTCTGGTTTATACCGGTTAAATTTTCGGTTAAGCGCCCTCTTGCATCGCCTGAGCAAATATCTCCGAGTCTGATACTGTAGGCAGATATGTTTTAGATCGAAGTTTCTAGAAGATCACCACTTCGTGCGTTATACCAAGTTCCACATCATTTCTCAGTGAATTCGAGAATTCGAGAATCGATCGGAGTCGTTTCTCTTAACACCGGTCGTTATCATCGTCGTTTGATTTCCGATCTTCCCTCGCCGCAAGGAGATATGCTCGCTTGACGACGACCTCCATCTTTACCTTTTTTGCTCAACAGTGAGATTACGCTCATGATATTTTTTTGTTATCTGATCTCGTTTACACGATGTTTCATTGGTAGATCCGTGGATTTTACTTTACTTTCATATGTTCTTATCAATTTTGGGTTGTTTTTTGGTGAATTGATCCGGTCTTAAGCGCTTCTTAGGTTAGAGAGGACTGTGTGGTTTTGAAAAGAAATTGCGTTTTTGATTTGCCATTGATGTGATTCTTAACTAGGTAGCTGATGATCATAGATGTGTGACAAAACCAGTTAATTCGACCATAATTAGCCAAATGGTTAGAGTTTCCAGAATCTGGAGTATAGTATTTGCAACCACAGTTTAGAACACATTTGGAATCCTGATTTCGAATTCCATGACATAATCTTTTGTTGCTTACTCTGTTTGATAGAGGAAGAGAAGGATGTCGACTCCAGCGAGGAAGAGACTGATGAGGGATTTCAAGAGGTTGCAGCAAGACCCACCTGCAGGAATTAGCGGTGCTCCACAAGACAACAACATCATGTTGTGGAATGCTGTGATATTCGGGTAATGGAACAAAGTCAAAAATCGATTACTCGGTTTGGTTTCAGAAACATTCTAAATCTGCACTGTAGTACTTATTAAACCTTGTGTTTGTGGATTTTACAGGCCTGATGATACCCCATGGGATGGAGGTAAGATTATGTTATTGTAATCACTTTTCTTGAGATTTTGGTAATCTTTCATATCTGTTCTTATATCTCTCTCTCTCTCTCTTGTATGATCTTGTCAGGTACTTTCAAACTATCACTGCAGTTTTCAGAAGATTATCCAAATAAACCACCAACAGTTCGGTTTGTTTCACGGATGTTCCATCCAAACAGTAAGTTTAAAGATTAAAAAAATCTGCTCTTCTTACTCTGAATGCATGTGATTCACGAAACTTGCACTTGGTCTTGCAGTTTATGCTGATGGGAGTATATGCTTGGACATTCTCCAAAACCAGTGGAGTCCAATATATGATGTCGCTGCTATACTTACCTCCATTCAGGTATATATAGATCAAAAATGCTTTCTCATGTCCTGTTTCTTAATAATCCCGTTGATGATTGTTGTTTTTCTGCTTCCTCTTCCATATAAAAGTAGCGTTGTTCTTGATCTGATCACATAATGGCTGAATAATCTCCGTTTTCTTATCACAGTCATTGCTCTGTGATCCTAATCCAAATTCTCCTGCGAATTCGGAAGCTGCACGAATGTTCAGCGAAAGCAAGCGCGAGTACAACAGAAGAGTCCGTGAGGTTGTTGAACAAAGCTGGACTGCAGACTAGTAATAATATTTGTTGTAGCATTTGTCTTCAAAAACATTAAAACCTCCTCTCTTGTGTTTAATCACCTACACTTCTCTCTCTCTCTCTTTCCTGTCTTTGTGTGTTTTATAAACTCTGTGATTTGTTGCTTTTAATGTTTCGATGTATTTCCATATATTATCTTAACCACATTTATCTTTTTAATTATCAAATGTATTTCATTTCGATCATTCTCTCAGATCTTCTTTTGCTTTATTTATAACAACAGATTTACCAAGATAGCTAGGATTCTTCAATGTAAGATTTTTCATGTTAATCCATGAAACTACATGTTGACCTGTTGACTCTTGTCTCTAGATTCATGAAACTACATGTTGACCTGTTTCTATAGTTTTATCTCGCTTTATGATGCATTTTTTTCTTGAGGATTATTCATTCATATATTGCCTTCATGGATGCTTCATGATTCCCACTGTTAGTCCATCCTTGCTGCACTTGAATTGTGTACTGCAGATTCCATACAACATCTTCAATCGATGGTCGTTTGCTCTGATCTTCACAAAGACAGTTGATAGCAAATTCCACAGTCGTCCTCAGCGACTCGTAAGCATATGATCCTCTAACAGATGGATCTGCCAAGCTGCTCAGTACTGATGGTTCATCTCTCAAACCGTTCTCCAGCTGCAAAAAGAAATTAACAAAAAAAAGGTTCCAAATTTGTGAGATATGTTCGATCAACAAAGATGAAAATAGGTTCTGACTGAAACAGAACAGACCTGAAGCTTCAAACTTCCCATCTCTGAAGAACCTGCAGCCACTACTTTTCCTGTGATTATCTGAAGTAGTATCACTCCAAACTGGTACACATCTTCTTTCTCTCCATCCTCATTACTGCACGCAATTCCATAAAAAAGTTTCAGAATTTGATAGAGGAGAACACATCTTATCATATCTTATAAGATATAAACCTCCGGGGACTTTTGACTTGAGGGCTCTCTGCTCCAACCTAGAAATACCAAGAAATTTTCTTAGTTTAAATAGCAAGAAGTAAAAATGAAAATTATTCAAAGCGTTTTTATACCTTGGATGGTAAAGGAATAGTGTAGCCACTGATTTTTACAGTGAGTGTTTCATCAAGCAGAATATTCTCTATCTCCAAATTGTTCCCAAAGATTCCTGGTGCTACTCCCATGTGCAAGAACTGTATCCCTCGAGCGACTCCTATGGCTATCGCCATTCTCTGAGGCCATTTCAGCACCTCTTTTTTCCTACAATCTGATTAAACAGTTCCCATTAAAATCTATTGAAAACTGAATGTATTTTCTGTCTTTTTTCAGGTTTTTACCTGTGAGGAAGTCCCTCAATGACCCGTTTGAGATATACTCTTGGACAATGAAGATGGTGTGTCCAGCGTGTTGATTGTGGTCTTGGTTACTGGCAATGCAATGTCCAAGAACACTAACCAAATGCATGTGCCTTAGCTTTGATAAAACTTCCATCTGCTGAGCCAAGCTCTGTGGCAAACTCTTCTGCTTCAGCTTGATACATCTCACTGTCACTGCTATGCCTTCTCTGAGACAACCTCTGTACAACTGTTGGAATACCAAAATATATCAATCAATCAGGTTTTATATTCTATAGTTTATGTCATGTTTGTCTTTGTTTTACCTGTTCACAGAACAAACTTGCTGCATCAAAGTCGTTAGTAGCTTCTTCCAGTTCCTCCAACGAGAAAATACGGTACGGTGGCAAACCAATCACTGCAGATCTCATTGTCTGAGGTACACGTCCTACACTCAGAACAATTATGTTAATGGTTTTTGCTAGAGAAGAACTCAGTTTCGAGATTTCAAAGTAATAATAATAGTCTTTGTTTACTTGAATCTAGTAATGACTTAGTGCTGGTGGTTGTGGTGCTGCAAACTGAGACTTTATCAGAGGCATGTCTTTCATTGTTGTAGCTGTTGTTGTTTGCTTCAAAGGTATCTTCTTCTGATCTTGATCTTCTTCTTCTCAGGACAATCAAAACCAACAGAACCAAAACTGCTGCAAGGATGACCACACCGATGAATATCAAAATCACCAAACCGAGTTTGATTCCTGTAGAATCTTTATCTTCAACCTTGTGGACAGGTTCCACAGCTATTGCTTTGCTCGCTTGGTTTTGACAGAAAGAAAGCGGACGCTGATACCTGGCGTTAGGAGTCCCAACCAAAGACAAGCAGTTGAATGAAAAGAGCACTGTCTGGTTCCTGAAACTCTTGGAAGTGTAGCAAGACGGAAGCTTTCCGGTTAGAAGATTGTGAGAAACGTCTAAAGTTCTAACCTTTGAGGAGCTGCAAGAGGAATTCGGAAGCGACCCGCTTAACAGGTTCTGAGCCAAACTGAGAGTTTGAAGAGAAGGAAGAGAAAACAGAAACTCCGGAATCGACCCGGTGAACTCGTTGGAAGAAAAGTCTAAACTTTGGAGCTTATTTAGGTTCTTGATCTGTCCTGGAAACTTGGATCTAAAGGAGTTGTTCTTCAATGAAACAGTGATGAGATTACTTGGGAGTGAGGGAGCTTCAGGGCCGAGATTATTACCTCCCAAATCCAACTCTTGAAGATTCGACAACCCTCTGAGATCAAAGACAGAACCTTTAAACAGATTGTCTGATAAAACAAGGCTTTTTAGATTCCTCAAAGACGAAATCTCTTTTGGGATTTTCCCGGAGAGGAAATTAGAGCTGAGATTGAGAGATTTGAGAGACGGTGATAAATTGGTGATGATCTTAGGAGAGAGAGAACCAGAGATTCCGAGTGAGGTAAGAGACAAAGTGTTTAAGCTGGAGAGTGTAGTAAGAAGAGTGAATAGTTTGTCAAATCTTCCGGGGAGCTTAGTGGTTCTGTTTCCGGTGATGGTTAGTTCTGTTACGTGACCTTTGAAGCAGATGATTCTGAAGGAAGGAGAAGAAGGAATGTGGCAGAAGTTGGCTGTATTGGTCCATGACTGAAGAATCTGTGGACATTGTAGTTGCTTTTGGATTTCTGTCAGAGCTTTTGATTCACTTGGAGTTAACTGAGACTCGGAGAGTAGTGGAAGAAGAAGGAGAAGAAGAAGAAAGAACGTGAGGGAAAATACATGGATTTGGAGGGAATTCTTCATTTTCTCTGGAAAATTTAGTGTTTGGAGATGTGATTTAGCTTAAAGAAACAGAAACTCACCGAAAGTTGTCATTTTTTCAGGGATCAGAGAGACAGATCTGTTGGGAACATGGAGGAAAACTTTGGATCAAGAAAAAGAAAATATAGTATAAAAATTTTTTGGACTCTATTAAACTGTCTTAAGATTTTCGTGGGAAAATTAAAAGAAGAGAGAAAACCCAAATTAAGTGGAGGCAATAAATGCGGTTTTTTTCATTTCTTATGATTTTAAGTTTTTTTGTTTGGTTGTTTGTTCATTACTGCACATTGCACAACGCCACAACCTTAGCTCGAGAGACTGTTTTTAATGCATAGAAGAACATGACTATAATTTTATTATATTGCAACTTTTAATGCATAGAAGAACATGACTACTATGATTTTTATTATTTTTAACTTCTAGTTCACATTACATATCTGTAATCTCCGTATTGTGTAATCAAAGACTTTTCAGTAGATAGTCTTTTGGTCTTATTTCGCTCAACTTGTTGATATTTTCATTTAGTTGTAGTTATGATGACCCGGTATATTATGGGGCGCGTGTGATTAACGCTCTATTATGGACACTTAACGAATGTGTATAAGACAGATCTTAACTTAACACCATTACTAATTTTTCGTAAACTGATTTGTGTTAATTTAAGGGCCCCTTTTTAATGCAACACGTGATTTTGTTTGAAACATTCATAGTTTCTATTTTGATTAAAACCTCTGTATAATAATTGATCGGATTAGAGATGTTTGATTAGTTGTCGGTGAGAATAAGATCAAGAAATGTATGTCGTTTTTTTGCTCTCCAGAAAGCGAAACCATTACGTTTGTGTCTTTTCTTTATGAATGTCGAGAGATTCTAACAAATGTCGAGCTGTATTCTTTTGTTCTGATCAACTGTTCATTTACTTTCTCTTTTTTGCTATTTATTTATTTAACAATTTCTACTTTAATTAATGTTAGTACTATTATCAAACTATTATTATTGTTTTCTTCAGCAAAGTGTTATGAATTATTTTACTGTAAAATATTTATGGATTTTAAACGATGAAAAGCACATCTGCACATGCAACCGCCTTGGAACAATCGTTACTGCGAAAGACGAAAGTGTCATTTAATATTTCCACAACAGGCATTTATATATTAACAAAAAGGTATTCATTTTCTTTTAAGTCGAATATTTGTTTCTTTTTTTTTTCCTAAAAAGTCCAAGTCGACGAGATAAAATAGAAGGTCGCTATTTTGGGCTTACAAATGTGTAATTTCAAGCCCTTTACTTGTCACACGTTTTAGCCCAAAATATTTCACCTTCAAGCCTGTATTACAACAGATCTTTTAGAAAACTTTTACCATATTATACGAATTTAAAATTCGAACAATAACATATCAACAACACTAATATAAATATTACCTTAAATATTATGATGAACTTGAATATAATATATATTTGAATGAGGGATAACTAAACTATTATAGATTTTTTAATAGACATAATTGATACAATTTTCTTTAACAATATGCGCCACAGGATGATAATTTTATTTTTGAACAGGAAATATTGTATTACTTATTTAAGTACTTTGTTGAACAGCAGAACAGGTAAAAGGTAGTACTCCACGATATAAATATCCATAATCAGCTTAAATTAACTTTTAGATAAAAACTTGAAAAACTAAAATACATAAAAAAAAGATTTTTTTTTGAAACAGCTTAAATAGTGGCGGGAATATATTTTCTTTGAATCTGTAATACATTTTGTGGCTTTGTGCTATTAACTACGAATATACGAAAAGACTCTGTCATTTATTTATTTTTGTTTTGGTTGCTAATAGAGCGGACTTTAAATCTAAGTTTGAGACACGTAATTAACAAACATTTAATGACTTTCAATGTCAAGAATCAGCGGATTAACCACTTCGATAATGACAGCCTTATCCTTAATTCTCATTTCTTTCTTTTTTCGCCAAAAAAACAAAAAAGAAGGTTGTTTCAGTAAATTCCAATACAAAATACAACTCTTACATTGCGCTCACACCACCAATGGCCTATTAACAAGGCCCATTCTTGAAATCAGCAACACGCAGGTAAAACGGCATCGTGTCGTAACCGTTTCTCTCTCTTTTTGTTGCTCCTCTTTCTCTCTCTCTCACATTACAGACGGTGAGAGTGTAATTCACACTATAACCACTTTTGGTTTTTTAGGTCACTGCTCCGGCGAGGAGCCCTTAAAGACAACCGCTTGAAGAATTAATAGAGACCACCCTTCTTCTTCCTCTTTCTTCATCTACATTGAGGAATCCATTTGAGGTTTGACATTTTTTGTCATTTTGAAATTTCTTTTTTTACCCATTTTTGGAAAACATTCGCACCATAAAAAAACTAAGAACAGTTTTCACTTTTGGTTTATATCCAGATCTGGTCTCACTGTTACTCCATCTTCGTTCACTCTTTGATTTTGCTTACAACGTATCTCTCTCTCTCTCTTCGTTTTTCTTCGAGAAACGTTTTGGGTTTTCTGGTATCTGTTTATACGAATTTTTAAGTTTTTTTTTCTCGTTTTCCCGCTTGTTTCTCTGTTAAATCGACATGGGTTTTGGTTTGGTGTCGTCAAAATCTCTGCTTTTTCACTTTATTTAATGGTCTATGTGTTCCTTTGGCTTTCGTTACTTTTTTTTTCGACTCTCTTTTGATTCGTGCTACTTTCGCTTTAATTACTGCACCGTCGATGCCTGTCTCTTTGTCTTGTTTCAGACTGTTAGGGTTAATATCTCTCTCTCTGGTTCAATGTCTTCTGTGTATTTCTAGGGTTTCTGTGTACAGATTTGTGATTCTAAATGTAGAATATTTTTCAGCTTGAAGTTGAAAAATTGATGAGTTCCATTTGCGACTGTAGATTCATGTGTTTCACTTGAATTTCACAGACTTTGTTTGTTTTGACCAAATGTTTTCTTGCTTGTGCAGGTTTCTATTTTTGTAGCAACTTTCTAATTGTAGCCATTAAAAAATGGGAAAGACTCCAAGTCCTGGTAAATGGATCAAGTCCCTTCTTGGGAAGAAATCATCGAAGTCGAGTTTGGAGAAAGGAAGCGAGAAATTGGTACGAATATGGAAGAGAGTTATTGTCTTTTTTTTTCCTTCTTTTTCTTTCTGTCAAAAAACAAAATGCTATGTAATTGTAAACATTGTTTCATATGTGACAGAGATCTGCGAAGAAAGAAGAGCCTGTGGTGAAGGTGAAGGGTAATAATGTCTCAAACTTACCTACCGATCCTCCTGTAGTAGTTTCATCACGAGAAGTTGCAGCTACTCAAACTGTAATAGTCCCAGATGTTGTAGCCCCCGAGAAGCAGCCAAGCAGAGACATTGAAGGCGATGAGTCGAATGTGAATCTTGAGTCAGGGAATGACACAGAAGAACTCAAGCTTGAAGAAGCTGCTACAAAGGTTCAAGCTGCTTTCAGAGCTCGTCAGGTGAATTCTTCTTCTTCTTCTACATTCTACTATTGAGATTTTGGGTCTTATTATGCTGATACTCTGTTGCTTTTTCTAACTCGTGAAGGCCCGTGAAGAGTTTCAAACGCTTAAAGGTGTCATAAAGCTGCAAGCAGTTATCCGTGGCCACTTGGTAAGAAGACAAGCTGTTGCTACATACTCATGCATTTGGGGAATTGTGAAGTTACAAGCTCTTGTTCGCGGGAAGAAAGCTAGATCTTTAGACACCGGTGTTCAATCTCAGAAAACAAATACGGTATTTAATGTCTATTAGCTTATAAGTCCTGCTTCGATAAAGGTTGCTGGATTTTGCTTTCAAAGTTGTAACTTCTCTTGTTTGTTAGGAAACCGAGAATTCTGAAACGTTTCAAGGAAGCACATACAGTTGGCTTGGGAATCCCACGAAGCTCTCCATGATCGATAAGGTAAACATCAGGATTTTGCTATGAGATTCTGTGACGCCCTTTGCTTATATGTTTCCTTGACGTTTTCAGCTTCTAGTTTCGTCACCAACAACATTGCCTCTGAAGATTCAGTATGGTCCTGAGGATCCTAACTCAGCCAAGGTGTGGCTTGAGCGCTGGACACAATTGCAGGTCTGGGCTCCTGGTCCACTGGCGCTTAAGAATCTGATTCCAAAAGCTCGGACAAAGAAGCGAAGTTTTCAATCAGTTGAAACGGAAAAGGGAAAACTGAAGAGAGGTATCAAGAAACCATTAGGTGGTTCAAATCTTGTAAATGGCTCTAGTAGCCGTTCTACAGCTGAAAATGAAAAGCCTAAGAGAAATGTGAGGAAGGCTTCAACGCTTGGTAAAGAGCTTTCGAGAATCGAGAACGACAAGTCTAAGCAGACTTCAAGAAAAAGTACTAGCGCCATAAAGGAAGGGTCTTCATTGGAGGTTAAAGATGAGAAGCCTAGAATTAGTCTCAAAAAGGCTTCACTTTCTAATGGGCTAGAGAAACCTACCCGCAAATCTGCTGAGAAGAAGAAAGAGGTTGCAGATTCAGTGCAGAAAGAATTGCCTGGTGATAAGGTTTCAGCTCCTGTAGTTGATACTCCTGAAGAAGAAAAGGTGAAAGATACCCCTGCAACAGTTTCGGAAGAGGCTGATCTCGAGAAAGATGATAACTCACCGGTTCTGGATAACTCACCGGTTCTTGATAACTCGGAGCAAGTTGAGCTCAAAACCGCAGAGAGCATTGATAAAGCTGAAGAAGAAATCCGAGAGCCAGATGTGCAGATTATGAGCTCCGAAAATGGAAATGCTGCTTCTGAAAACACAAAGCCAAGCGATAGACGAGCTTCGCTGCCTGCAAAGATTGAAAATCATCATCAAGACGACGGACTTACACATAGCGGGCGAAAAATCCCAAGCTATATGGCTCCAACTGCATCTGCAAAAGCAAGAATAAGAGGACAAGGGTCTCCAAGAATTGCTCAAGAGAAGCCAGAGAAAAACGGGACAACTAGACGCCATTCTCTTCCTCCTGCAGCCAATGGTAAGCTGAGTACAATGTCTCCAAGAGTTCACAGACTTCTCATAGCTTCAGCTAAAGGATCAATGAACAGTGACAAATCTTTTTCGTCTTCCAAGGACATTGGTGGTAAGAAGTTTATTTATACACAAGCCTCTTAAAAGTTTCAACTTTTACACTGAAATATACATCCCTTTTGCTCATGTTTATTTCAGATAAATCGACGAAAGCTGAGTGGAAACGGTGAAGTCCTTTTGAGGCAATAGAGAAAGCAATCCAAATCATCATCCTCTTCATCTTACACTGTTGGACAAAGCTCTGAAAACCTGTTTAGTCTTTTTAACTGTTTCGCTTCTATTTTTTTCTGTGTGTTTTGGTTTGGTTTTGTTTGGTTTGGTGTGGTGAGTCTTTGACATGTTCCCTTTAGATTTTTACTCTCAGATGCTTTGTCTTCACAAACAAAAAGGGTTTTTAGTAAATAGTTCTTATTTCTATCTAATCATTTAGAGTATGTAGCTCAATTTTGCGTTCTTAGTTGTTTCTCTTTAAAAACAAGAAAAGGTTAGACTGTATATATGAAACCGAAATTGAACCGGACCAAAAATTCATATTCAGGTCCCAAAGCATAACTGAAGTTGTCTAAAATCAAACAGAACTAAAATTTTGTTAGAAGTACCTTGTGAAGAAAATCAAATATTCTGTAACTGAGCCAAGATTACTTATACATATAAATTTTTGTAACTCTGTTGTTCAAAACTCCAATCCTCACTCTATAGACCAAGGTCTTAAAAACGAAAAACCATCACATTCTCATCCATATAGTGTTGAAATAAACAGATACATTATTTTACACACAGAGGAGCCACAATACAACAGAAAACTATTACAGTGATTCTATCTTACACGAGGAGATTGATTGTGAGAAGGCAGAGGAGAAGCAACAGGAGTTATGTGCAAGAGAGGCCGATCATAACTATACCTCCTGGGAGATTTCTGTACAACAGATCCGTTACTACCTCTCGGAGAATCAATCTGACCTTGTCTGGTTCCAGTTCCAGTACTTCTTCTCGGAGAATCAATCTGAGCTTGTCTGGTTCCAATTCCATTACTGCCTCTCGGAGAATCAATCTGAGCTTGTCTAGTGCCAATTCCAGTACTACCTCTTGGAGAATCAATCTGACCTTGTCTAGTTCCAATTCCAGTTCCAGGTTTAGTAGTTATTGATTCAAGCTGATCTAGTTTGGCCAAAACTTCCGACATTTTTGGTCTGAGCTTTGCGTCAGGGTTTAGGCATTGCAATGCAAGACTAGCAGCTGTGTATGCTCCTTTTTGAGGATACTGACCGCCTAATCTCGTGTCCATTATTCGAAAGAGCTTTCGCTTGTCGCCTAGATAAGGTGTTGCCCAATCCACAAGACTCTGTTCCATTCCTACTTTTGATTTGTCCACCGCTCTTCGTCCTGAGAGTAATTCCAGTAGTACCACACCAAAACTGTATACGTCGCTCTTAGCTGTTAATCGACCTGTAGATGAATATTCAGATTTGAGCTTAAGTGTATGAGACTATGAGCTCCAAAGGCTAAAGCTTTTGAAGCCAAGGGATAAAACGCTTTGTAAAAAAGGGATAAAAAGCTTTTTTAAAGCAAAGGGATAAAAAGCTATTGAAGCAAAGAGATAAAGCTTTTGTAGCCAAGAACTAATGCTTTTGAATCAAAGGCTAAAGCTTCTGAAGCAAAGAATAGCTTTTGAGGTAAAGAGATAAAGCAAAGGCTATGTAGTTTTGAAGCTAAGGCCAACGTTTTTTTCTCACCTGTGGCTACATATTCAGGGGCTGCGTATCCGTGAGTACCCATGACTTGTGTGGACACATGTGTCCTATCACCAGTAGGACCTGCTTTAGCTAGACCGAAGTCTGAAAGTTTAGCGTTGAATTCCTGTGATTATGATCGATATACAAGTTTTTGTTAGAAAAATCTCGAATAAAAAAGTTAAAGAGAGTTTGCTAATCAGGTTTGTCGGGTTTATTACAGCGTCGAGTAGAATGTTAGCAGCTTTGAAGTCTCTATATATCACTTGTGATTTAGCGTCGTGAAGAAAAGTAAGCCCCTTGGCTGCTCCTGTTGCAACTTTCATCCTTATCGCCCATGTTAGTGGCTGCGCACCACCTGCAAGAAACAAAGAAAATCATTTGATTTCACGGCTTAAAGAACCAAAGAAATGTCGATTTTTGGAATAGAACTTTGCTCAGATTTACATACGTCTAAACAGATGATTCTCCAAGCTTCCTTTTGGCATGAACTCATATACCAATAACCTGTCTTCTCCCTCTACACAATAACCAACTAGTTTGACAAGATTTGGGTGACTAAGCTGACCAAGATAGTTCACTTCAGTCTGAAACCAACCAAACAAACATGAAAGAGAAGAATGTAGCCAATGATGTTAACACCATTTCATGAGCAAAAGCAGATTGAAGAGAAGGAGAGAAAAAAACGGCGTACCAACCACTCCTTGTGACCTTGAAATCCTTCAGTTTTGAGCTTCTTAACAGCAACAACGATTCCAGAACCCGGTTTAGAAGCAGTGAAAGTTGTTCCATCGATCCATCCTTTGAAGACATAACCAAAACCTCCTTCACCTAAAAGACTATCGGGACGAAAATTCCTAGTAGCGCTCTTGAGCTCATTGAAGGTGAAAGCTTTAAGATTCGGTGATGACAATATCTCTCCTTCTGTTCTTGGTGTAGGTAAAGACTCTAAACTACTGTAAGAGTTTATGCTTAAGCTTGAAGGAACTGTGGAACGGCTTGTCTTGCTAGAAACTCTTGAGCCCGATGAACCTAATTCAGAACCAAAAAGAAAAAGTATATAAATTCAGACTTCAATCAAATTCCTGGAAACTCTCGAGATTTGATAATCCTATAAACAGCCAAATCTCAACATTAAGCAATTCAATTTTCTTTAGTCGATTTCCCTTTTAAGTTCTTGGTGCTTTTAACAACCCTATGAACAGCAAAAAAACATGAACTTTGTTCTAACATTTAACCCCAAAATTACTTAGAGCTATATACAAATGGGAGATCAGACATATGCTGAGATGGGTAGTATTCAAAGGTTTGATCTTTGAAGATCATAAACAGCTTAACAGTTGAGAATTTAGTTTGGGCTCAAGAAATTGACTATAACCAGAAAGTTAACTAGAAGAACCCAAGTGGATAGTGAAGAGAAATTCCAAAAGACAATAACAGAAACTTAACCAGAAACGGAAAATTGGATGAAAGAGGGAGAAAAATAATAAACTTTCTGAGCTATGAAGAAAAAAAGAGGAACTTACCAGAATTAGCATGAGGACTGTGGCTGCTACTATCCACTTTAGCTGATGAGTCCAAACAATTACCCATTTTTCAAGATAAAACCTCACTACTCGGAATGATGAACAGATTCAAAAGAACATCTGAAAATGGAAAGCTTCTTCTTGGCTTTTGTTGTTTTTTCTTTCCTTTTCGTTTTCTCAGCGGCGCAAAGTCTGGGAGTAATTGAAATCAGTAGAATAATTATTATTATTAATCTTTTTTTTGGTGGAAAACTAAAACAAGAATGGGAGAGAAGAAGAAAGGAACGTGAAATTCTGAAAGAACACAGAAGAACAGCACACCATACATACAAAAGTCTCGTGGTGGTGGACTGGTGGGGTTCTTACGATAATTACGACTCTACCCTTCTTTGTTCTCCGTGGTCCGTGGCTTTTCTCGTGAAATGACCGTAATACCCTTACATTCCTGCGAATCTTTATGGTTTATGCCGGGGTTTTTACCGGCCATCGAGAAGGGATAGTTTGGTAAATGTGGGTTAATAGATCTGGGTTACGTATTTGCTTGCGTCAGCAAGTCCACGTCAGATTGTAAAGCTCTGCATTATTTTTAACTTTAAGCAAAAGCAAAAAAAACTCCTAAAGATGCATCAAATCTATAAATGATTTTCAGTCGCTGAGTGATTAAATCGGTAAAATGATTCGAATACTTTTAGAAAAAAAAAATTAGATTTGATTAATGCAAATGGAGTACTGTTTAATGAAAAGAGGTTTCGTTAACACGCTTTATGGAATATTATAATTTCAAGTGTATCAAAAACTTTATATCATGCATTGACCCAAAAAATTCCTCTATTCATTCACATTATACGTTGGACCGACACACACGATACGAGACCAATTTTATGTCCATTACACCTTGACACGTGTGGACAAAAGTCACATATTAAATAATGAAATTTTTTTTTATAAATTATCTAGCAGAAAGCATCGTAGAATTATGTGAAACATAAAAAATGGTAAAACAACGAGCGCGGTACTAGTCGACTAGAACGAGTAAAACAAAACATTTATCCCAGAAAACGAGTAAGACAAGCATTAATAACACAACAAAACAAAAGATTAAATGATGATTTATAATAGTTTCATAAATAGCAAATTATTTTCGAGTGATATCCGAACAAAGTATTTTTCTTTATTGGAATTTATGAGTCGTAGTCGAATGAGATTGTTACTGTGTCATTCCAATTACCATATTTGTATAACATAACTTAATTAGATCGGCAATTGTACATAACATTAAAAGCTCAATTGCAATATGCAAATGTATGTTATTTGCAACTTGATATATATGATATACCAAGTGTTTTTTATGAATATCATCATATAGGTTTTAAATACGAAGCATGTGAACAGTTGTAACACGACAAAAAGTATGTGAATAGTAATCTTTTGACTATTTCAAACTCTTACACTTTTGTCAACCATTAAGCCATTAGCCATCTATTATGATAAAAAAAAAAAAAGTACTTACACGTAGTTTATAGAAATACGGTTGAGTGCATATATATTATTTTAGTTGCTATCATATTTTATGTTTTCAGCCTTCTTTTATGTGTCAACATATATTCAAAATATTATCTTTTCCTTTACACAAAAGAATCTTATCGCCTTTGTTTTTACTTTTTATAAACATTGATTCTAATCTTTTATTATCATCCAATTCATAACTAATAACTTAATAGTTGACACCTACCGACCTACGTACATATCAATATCATGGACGATTTCTTATTTCTCACCTGAATAAATCTAAAGTTCCTAGATAATTAAACTCTGAGATAATTGGAATTCTTAAAACTCCATCTAAATCAAAGATCTAATGACCCCTTAATGAATAATGATTGTGAGTTTGTGACCCACTTTGGTCAACCCACTTTGGTCAACTTCAAAGCACCCACCGAAACTTTCCAACATGTTATAATTTTAAAAGACAATCGTGTGGTTATTATGATACTGGAACGGCGTGTAGTTTCTCTTTCTAATCAGACACGGAGACCATTTCAGAAGTTGGGCCCAAAAGTGCATACGCGTCATCTAGCCAATAAAAAAACGTTAAGTGAGATCATCAGTCCAATGTTAAGCCTCCACGTGGAGCTTCGACGTCTATTTTCGCGCCTTTGTGTAATAATCTTCGTCTTTCCAAAAACCTCAAAACAAAACATTTTGGTTTTGCGATTCTCGAATTCGATCTCATAGTGAACAAGTAATAGTGAAATTCGAGTCATCGAAGCTTCGCCGGAGGAATAATCGGCGGCGTGGGGGGCATTTCCGCAGGGCGATGGAGATCCATGGCTCCGGGCTCCGGCGAATTTTGTTATTGGCTTTGTGCGTCTCCGGGATCTGGTCCGCCTACATCTACCAAGGCGTTCTTCAGGAAACTCTGTAAGTAATTTTTCTCAGAGCGGATCGATTCCCATCGTTGAATTACATTCCATCTTCATTGCTTGATTCGGCTTGTTGTTTCTAGAGTGTTGTTAATTTTAGATCCTTATTTAGGCTACATTACGGGTTATGATTCGTCTGAAAATGCACTTCCGTATCGGTTTGAATTTCGAGAGACATAGATGCAGGAAATTGTTCTTAATCCTTACGCAAATGCACTATTGTATTCGAATTTCGTGGTTGGGGTTTCTAGAGTTGTAGCTGCAGGAACTTTGTTATTGATTCGTATCCGTATGCAAAAACACTCTAGTATTCGAAATCTGCGGCAATTTTAGAGATATATCTGCAGGAACTTGTTCTTGGTCCAAGGACTAAGAAATTCATTATCTGATTAGGTCCACAAAGAGATTCGGTCCAGATGAGAAGAGGTTCGAGCACCTCGCATTCTTGAACTTGGCTCAAAGTGTGGTCTGCTTGGTCTGGTCTTATATAAGTGAGAATTTGTCCTCTTCCATCTCCGTTGCTTTATCATCGGAAAAAATGGAGCTGAAATATCTTTGAATGTAATCTGATTCTGTCCAGTGATTAAGCTCTGGTCAAACGCCGGTAACGGTGGAGCGCCATGGTGGACTTATTGGAGTGCCGGCATTACTAATACGATTGGTCCTGCCATGGGAATTGAAGCCTTGAAGTACATCAGTTATCCAGCTCAGGTAACTTTTTAGCTGGTCATTAATACGCAGATTATGGTTTTTAAATATCTCTTACGGATTGAATTCGGATCTTGCTTTTGGTCAGGTCCTGGCAAAATCTTCGAAGATGATTCCAGGTAAGGTATCTATCTATAGTTTCCAAAATTTTAATCCATTATTGTCTCAAAAAGATGATTATGAAACACTCTCTCTTACGTATTTCTTCTCAGTATCTCTCTGTTTATCTTATTTGTATTTTTTTCCATGATGCAGTTATGCTAATGGGAACTTTAGTTTATGGAATAAGATACACTTTCCCAGAGTACATTTGCACCTTTCTTGTCGCGGGAGGAGTAGCCATCTTTGCTCTTCTTAAGGTATGCAAATTTGCTCATCCAAAAAACTTTGATCAAAGCATATGATTAAGCTTTTGATTTTTGTTTTTTTAAGACAAGCTCTAAGACAATTAGCAAGCTAGCACATCCAAATGCACCACTCGGCTACGCACTTTGCTTCTTAAACCTCGCCTTTGACGGATTCACAAACGCCACCCAAGACTCCATTGCCGCAAGGTATAAATGATCTGACATTTGCATCAAAACATAAAACTCCCATCTTCTCTCAATAATCTCATCACCATATATACGATGAATTTTTCACAGGTACCCGAAAACCGAAGCTTGGGACATAATGCTAGGAATGAACTTATGGGGCACAATATACAATATGATATACATGTTTGCATTACCACAAGGGATCGGATTCGAAGCGTATCAGTTCTGTAAGCAACACCCGGAAGCTGCATGGGACATTCTGAAATACTGTCTATGCGGTGCCGTGGGACAAAACTTCATCTTTATGACAATTAGTAACTTCGGGTCACTAGCTAACACGACCATAACCACGACCAGGAAGTTTGTTAGCATCGTTGTCTCATCGGTAATGAGCGGAAATCCATTGTCGATGAGGCAATGGGGATGTGTTTCAATGGTGTTTGGTGGTTTGTCGTATCAGATTTTCCTTAAATGGAAGAAGTCGAAAAGAGTGGAGAAGAAGAAGCAAAAGAGTTGAAGAAAGAGTGAAGAACGGCTCTGTTTTTTTCATATCTCTAAATTATTTTTTCTAGATTTTTTTGTAGTTGTTTGTGTTGAGTCAACCGAAACATATAAAGAAAATCTCAAACCAGATTAGTCAACTGTATAACTAGTGATTAGCAGACATACCGAAACCAGTGATTAACGTATGGTATATAATTTTTTATTATTAATTAACATCGACGTATGGTAAATATTTATGATAATTCAAATACATATGATTTAGATTTTGGTGATCCGATATTAACATCTTATATATAAAAGCTAAAAGCTGGCCAACTTTCTCCAGTTGAATGACACATCAGCATCAACTTTGGCCAACTTTCTCCAGTTGAATGACACATCAGCATCAACTTTCTCCACGTGTACCTGTGTTTAAAAAAAATCACCTAATCAATTTTAAACCGCCTAAACTGATTTCTTAAAAAACTGGATTATTTATGTTCAAAATTGGACTCAAATACAGGCCCAACAAGAATGTATTATACAGGTCCAACGCATTCAGTCTTCGAAATGGGCCATAAATTGGATAAAAATTAATTAAAAGGATGAAGGCTCTTATTTATAGTGCAGCTTCCACTACTCAATAATCCAAGTTTGTCGATGTGGAACAAACCAAAAGACCCACTTTTAAAATATGTCAAAGGTATTTATATGCTTGACTTAAATTTGGGTCTGCATCACATCAATATCAATGTCTTCTAAGTCTATCATTATACACATATTTAAACAAACTTTAGTTTATACATGTCAAATATAATAAAATTAATCTTAAAAAATAAATAATTAAATAATTAAAATAAATATAGAAACGAATCTACGATTAATCTTTGATTAGTCTCTGCTTTTTTATTTAAGCGCTAGATGGACCTAAAAAATATATAGTTTTTTTTAAATTAAAAAAAAATCAATAAAATATATATAACCAAAAAAATTCAAAATGGTAAATTATGTAAATTAACAAATATTGTATTAGTAAAATTTACAAAAATAAAAAAATATGAAGATCAAAGAATAAATAAATATTCTATCTAATATTCAACGTATATTTTAAATAAATTATTACATTTTATACAAAAATTAAAATAGTAGAATTTTAGTCCATTATTATCTTGAAAAAAAAAATAGACTATTTGATACAACTATTATAAAAAAGATTACAAATAATATATCATTAAGAAGAAATTGAAAAAAAATATAAATATTTTAAACAAATATTTATAATAAACATAAAATTCATTAAAAATTATTTAAAATATAAATTAAAACAAGATCGCGCATATGCACGGGTTCTCTTCTAGTTGTATTAATATTTCAACCCAGATCACTGGTTTTAGCGGTTGTAAAGTAAAAATTTGGATTTTGATGTAAACCGGACTAAAAAACAATTCATGGTTGGATAGACCGGTATGGTATATATTGTTCTGACGTTGAAAACCAGATTAGAAGAGTACAAAGGAAGAGAGGCAAAAAAATTCAAATTAGAAAAAGGTAGAAAGTGATGATTACGATTTGTCTTCCACTAACACACACTTAAACACTTCTCATTCTCTAGAGAAGGAGATCCAGATCCAACTAAGAAACTTCTTCATTAGAAATTTTTTTTTGTTCTTCACTGTAATCAGGGAGGAAGGAGATGGGCAAGAAATCATAGGTACGTTTATAGTAATAAGACACAATAATTCACACCAAAATCAAATCATTTTCCATTCATATAATCTCTTTACAAGTCACATGAATCTCCTGAGAGGGAAACAAAGGGAAAGGGTTTTTATAGCAAACAAGAAATCTCCTTTTTCTGTTTTCATCTTCTCACACCTATGAGAAGTTGATACAGAAATAAAATTGAAAGCAAAGTTTTTTTTTTCTTCTCTCCAAAACCATATGAAAGTCTTGGGTTTATCTTTTCTTCTTCTGTCTGTTTCCTATTCATTACTGTATATAGAAAGGTGAGATGCCTCTCTGAAATGGTTTCTCTTTTTCCTTAGTTTACACTCTGAAACAAAAACTCTATTTTTTTATGTAATATATTGGTTCTGTACAGAGAATCAAGAAAACAACAAATCAAGAATTCATGGGGGGGAGGAACAAGCCCGGATTATGTATCTGGGTTTGCCCTTTAAAGAGGGAGACAAACGAAAGAATTTTTCTTCTCTTAAACACGCAAATCATGAATAAAGAAAGAAACACATACTTTTAGCCCTTTTTTCTGAAGTGGCTTTTGAGTATGATGATAAGAGAAAACTCTCCTAATGAGTGAGCAAAGATTGGAATCCTGAGCATCTGAGAGAGAGACTCAGTTTCTGAGATTTGTCTAGACTTAGAAATGTTACCTTTAACATTCTAGATTCTAGATTATGAACACTGAGGGAAAAAAATGCAGATCATGGCACGCCCGCTTCACTAAAACTTTTCAGGCCGATATGGCTGCAAACCTATGAAGAAAATCTAAGCAAAGGAGGGAGAAAATTGCAAGTTATGTCGACTCCATGGAGACATAACCGCGGTTTTAAGGATGTTTTTTTTGGTTTAGAGCTTTGGTTTGGTTTGATTTGGTTTGGTTTACAAGCTATCGAGTAGGACTCTTTTGCAAGGGGGTGGTTGTGAAGGATTAGCACTTGGAAATGGAGATGGGGACTCAACACCGAGTGTTTTTAGCAGAAAGTTCCTCTCCTGCAGAAACATACTCATCAGGTTTCTCTTTATAAAACTATACCTGAAAATATTCCACAATTTTAACTAATTAGGTGCAAGCTTACACTTTCAGAGAATTGTGGGCTTGGGATGCCTGCTGCTAGAGATCTGAATAATGGAGTGACTTGAACAGGCGAGTTAAACTCTTCTTCACCCGACATAGGCACAATCTCATTAGGGTTCTTTAGGACATCATGACAAGTTGAGAGTAAATCCACTTGTTCCACAGTTGCATCAGACACCATCACAGTTGCATCAGACACCATTGCTTTATCTTGTAGCAACTCCCCATCATTTTGTTCCTGCGTTGTTGTCTGAGAATCAGACATGGGTTGCTGGGATTTATCACCGGAAGGATACGGCATTACGGTTGATCCTGAGCTATATTCAGAGCTTGCTGGTGAATCATGGAGATCAGGTTGCCTGTAAATGGACATTCGATGCTCAGAAACCATTTAGGTGTAAATGTGAGTTTTATACATAAAAATGTGAGTTTCAGAACCTCCAAGATGCTTGACTATCTTCATTACTACTCCTCAACTCTTCAACAAGATCCTTAAATTCCTCGAATTGGAAATCCATGTCTGGAACTCCATAACGGAATATATCATTCTCTTTACTTTTATTCAAGAAATCCTGCAGGACCTGCACATATTTGGAAGAACAACAACAACAGTTTTGTTATTAGAATGCTCGTAAAGGATCATGCAACGGTGTGTTGCAGCCTCGTGAAAGTGTTTTCATTTTCAGCTCATAGTTTCAAAGTGTAGTGACCAAAATGAGTTGAGAATCACAGCGAAACTGCGCATAGTTACCTTCCAGGCATTCTCCATGCTTTGTTCCGTGTTCTCTGCATTAACTTTCTGGGCCAATGAACTGAGAAGCTCGGCTTGTTGCATCAAAGCTGTTACCTTTGGATCATCCTTCTTAAGAAACACCTCTTGATTACCTTTATGCTCACCTAATTACCGTAAAACAAAACTTAGCAGAATAAGAACTCACAATGTTGCATTTTCCAAATAATCAACAACAAGAAATTTGCGCAGAGTTGTTCACCATTGCTCTCTTTACCATTGCTCTCTTTTGCACTATCTGTTTGAATCTGCTTCTCTGTGCTGTCAACACTTGTGGCATTGTCGGCTAGTACTGAAAATGGAGGTCTTATTTGCTGATTCACACCCGATTTAACCTTTACATGCGACCTATCCCCATAGCTACGGATCTCTGTATGATTTGGAATGTGACTTCTCCTGAAATAATGAACATGACCAATACATGTCAGCAAACGTTTCAGAGCCTTCTTCTTTGGATCAATGGGGCCCCAAAAGAGAAACCAAAACAATGTTCTCACCTCATTTTCTTAGCAAGAGGGGATTCACTTTCGGCTTTCCGTGGTGTACTGATACCATCTGGGAACAACATTCTTTTGTTGTTTGAGTTCACACAGCAAGCAATCCTATTATCTTTAGCAATAGCTTCATACTTAGCTCTCTTCTTGCACAGTGTTGTGAACCTGTTCTTCACAGCATTATCCGTTCTACACAAACAAGAAAGAACATTTCACCGTCTAGTTTCATAAACTTCATTCGCCATAAAAAAGCTTCTTTTTTCTCTGTATATATACCTGCCTGAGACCACTTTTGCTATCTCAGTCCATCTATTCCCAAACAATCTCTGTGCCTGAGAAACAAAACACACACAAGATCAGACACAAACTCTATAACCTCTTCATCTATGTGAATAAAAAGATGTCGATGTCTAACCTCACACAAAAGTGTATCTTCTTCAGGGGACCAGCCTCCTCTCTTGAAATCAGAGTTCAAGTATGTGTACCATCTGCAAAATCAAAATCCATGATCGGATTAAATAAAGACCCAAAAAAAATTAAATTTCAGAAAAACCATCACTTTGATTTTGAATAGATTGTAACCAAACCTTCTTCTACACTGCCTTGTGCTCTTATCAGTGAACTTGGATGCAATGATCGCCCAACTGAAATCAATCAACACAACAACAATCCCTCTTTCTCATCAGAATCAATCAGCCCAATAAAACAGAAGACTTTTATGAGAAACTGAAGAAAAAAACTCACTTTTCAGTTCCATGTAAACTGATTTGCTTCCTTAGTATATCATCCTCCTGCAAAACTCAAACAAAACCCATATCAGAAACTGTTCGATTGCAGAGAGCAATAAAACAGAGATTCAGAGAATATTATTGTATAATATATAAATATAGAGAGAGATAGAGACCTCTTGTGTCCAAGTGACAATATGACGCTCCTTCTTTTTGGAATCTTCGTTATTAACGATCTTCTTCTTCTTCTTCGTTGTCTCTTCCATTAAAATTTTTGGTCGTCTTTCGTTTCTCTCTCTGACGCTCTCTTCTGTTAATTCTTTGTCTATTGTTTTCTTCGACGCTCCTTCTCCTTTATTAAAACCCAAAACTATCTCTATCCCACAGAGACCCCTCCAACTTTTTTTTTTCTTATCCGGAAAAAAAAAACCCAAACTTTTTCCAGGAAAACACAAAAATAATCAAAATCCCTAATTTTCTTTTATTTTTTATGAAAAGGAACTCATTTTCATCACACGCGACACTCCTGCTTTTAAAACCTCACGAATCCGTAAGGTAACTCTCACAAAGATTGAATTTCGACGAAACGGAAAAAGGGAAAGGAAATTCTTATAGAAAGAAACAAAACAGAAGTTGAGATTTTTCCCCAAAATTGAAGTTAGGGGTTTTAAAAAAAATCCACTTTTATGATGTATCATTCACGATTCATGAACATTGGTTTCGTTAAGAAACTCCTCTCATTGCCATTTGGAACAATAATAAGAAAATGAATTTACTCTCTCTCTCTCTCTCTCTCTCTCTCTCTCTCTCTCTCTGCTCTTCACATGACTTCCTTTTTGAACTCTTCTCACACTCTCTCTCTTTCTATTATTCTCTCTCTATATTTTATTTTTCACAATTTTGGGAATTTAAAAAAAAAAAAGAAAACAAAAAAAAAGATGCAACGTATGGATGGGTTAGTGCGCGGGTATGAAGGCAAGTTTGAAAAATAACGCTGAAATCCATGTGTCTCCCATCCATTAATGTTTTTATTTATTTTCTTTCTCTTTATTTCATTTTTTTTCTATTTAACACCTATAAGCAAGCCTATAAGGTATGAAGATATTTTTAGTTCAAATGTAATGTTTAAACCAAATAGTTTATATCTATGAATATAGATTACAAAAAAGCTACGTTCAAAAACTTGCCTTAAGTTACACACAATCGAACGTGGGGATTTTATTATGGCATTGTCTAGAGTTTTGTGGGAAAGATGATTACTTCTATTAGTTTATGGTTTTCCAATTGATCAAAGATTATTCGAATCACAAAAATGATATTTCAAATTTTTGCGTTTGAAAGTGCACATGGTTCGTTCGTGATCTTCAGACGATAAATGAATATATAGAATATGATTTGTCTTTTTTCATTCCGAATTCTGATTTGACTGTGTTTTAAATGTAAACTAGTTTGACTTGATTTGATACTACAGTTCTGGTTTTATTTAAAGTCGAATTTATCTCACAATTCTTTTTTCTATAGCGATTTGATTTGGGTTTTGTATCTATTTTCTTTGTATAAATCACTTCAAACTGGTGTCCCAAATTTACATATATATGAAATAACATTAAGCAATTATTGCAAGGAGATTGACAATTTTCTTGTTGTTGTTTTGTTAAAAGAGTATACGACAATTTACGTGACTCAACTAGCAAGTAGCAACCATTGCCTTTGATTCCAAACTTTTTGACACCTAAAAAAATTAAAAAATTGTCACTTAATTAAATGAGATTCGTTTTTCGATGATATATTTTTGTGAACGATATCATGCGAACGAACTGCTTCAATTCAATTTAACCGAACTTGAACCTTGTTTGGTAAAATACTCATTATTTGGACTTATATATAAATTCAGGCCGTTGTTAACTTAAAACAATCCAGGAGAATGAATTTAATTATTTTTATTTGGACTTATTTATTTTGTTCTGTGCTATTTTATTTGGACAGTATTTTTGATTTTTACTATGGGGTAATCACATGGGATTAGATAATTTTATTTTATCTTCTTTTTGGGTTACTAAACTAAATAATTAGCTGGGATTAGTTCAAACTTTGACCAGAAGGTTGAGGCACACGTGAGAAGTGAGCGCGTGATGTTTGGAAATTAGGAATTGTAGTCATAACGGATTTTAACAGCTAAGCACTCTGACAAATCACTTTTTTTTGTTGCAAGTAAATTTGAGAAATGTAAATGCATGCAAGTGACCCAAATACTTCTTCTACTACTATTTTTTTTCTAGTATTTTCACTTAGTTTTTGCTTTTTTACCTTCTTCTTTTTTGAGGATGGGCTCTAACTACCGTTCTCAAACGGTTAGCAAGAGATGGCAACAACCAACAACACTCACACTAACGAAATCACAAACCAACTTTATTAAGTAATAGTATTAGCTTTTAACTGATATTATGTGAATAATATATATCATACATTGGTACTGAAAAAAGATTTGAACTATTATGTAGAAAACATGAGTCAAATCAAGATTTTGAGTTACAAACTCATAAATTTAACATGGTATCAAAATTTTAGTTTGGTTCGTAAGAGTTTCAAATAGAACTTATTATAAGTTTTAGAATAAGATTTAATTTTAAATGAACCTGAAATTAGAGTCATCATTTCAAAGAAGCGTGTTAAGATTCTTAAATATAAATTTTGTTTAAATTTAAATAATAATTTTAAAAAATAATTCAGTCATTTAATTATCAATTGGTTTTAGGTTATAAAACCATAAAATTTAATACGATACAAAGTCAGAACACACAATACTCTCCCATCAAACTAAAATTGATTGAATCCAAAGTAGCTGATCAGCCTTACCAAAATTTTCTTCCAACTAAACTTATCCGAAATTAATCTTACATAGATTTAGTAGAGACCAATGATTAGAAAATTTATCCCATTACCGCATCATCGTAGAATGAATTACGGTACTTGACATTATAAAAAAATTTTGCGTATTTATTTTTTTGTATTATTGTTTATCTATTGTAAAAAATTTCAATAAAAATGGAATTAACTACATATCTACTTTTATAAAACCTATATTGTTTATTTTGTATTTTTATAGAGCCGTGACTTATAAATATATATATATATATATATATAGATATGTTTCATTTTTCTTTTCGCAATTCATCATTTGCAAAAATTAGTTCCGTACCACTTATTTAATTTCCATGCGATTGCTATATTGTTCCATTTACTCATCATTTTTCTATCCTTTTCAATTCAATAATTGGAACCTGCAGATATTAACATTTCTTTGTTTACAATCCAAAAAGTCCATCCCGCCAAAACGTTGGCAACGATTCACACTTCACAGTAACCCTAGCAGTATCTGTCTCTATGGAAGTCAATGCTCGTGTTTTTGTGATTGACATTGTATAAATTGTCACACTATTTACATGTTGAAAGTAAATAAAGGCCAAGTTTAAGGGACTGTTAAATGGGAGGAAGGAGCCATTAAAACAATTGATTATATATGTATTGTCATTTCCCTACATGTTAATATTTAACAATGTAGAATTCATTTAATTGATTATCTATATATTTTCGTTAGCGTTAGCGTTTGATAAATGTTAAAAACGAAAAAGAAAAAGAAAAATCACACCTTTTAAAAGGTGAAAAATTTGGAGAAATATTAGACTGTATACCATTCATCAATATTGTGTCACGGTAATTTACATTTGAAGCCGGCATTTTTAATATACGATTTAAATGTGTTAAAGAGGAAAAACATAGATGCATTGGAAGTAAAAAAGGTCGGTGAGAAGAGGAAGGCCCACAAGCAGCCACAAAAAGGCCGACTCTATGATAAATAATGGAACCCAATGCAAAAGTTCACTCCTTTCTCCTCTCATTTTTATTACCATTTTTTACACTAAAGTTTAAGTTCTTCTTTCTTTTCTATCTGCCAACAAAGTTATAGACTTATAGTCTTTATATTATTCGCTCCCTTTTGAAACATTTTTTTATTTAAATTTTTTTTTTAAGTTTTCACATGATTATAAATCGGATGTTTTAAATTTGGTAATGTCTAATTTTCTCTCGTTTACTATGTGTTCGAATTTCATAAATTGAGTACGATATATATTGTAAGATAACCCTAGATTAACTAGGTTTAATATGTTTTCTTAACGATCTTGCATTTGTATTCGAATGAATACAAAATTAAGAATTAAAAATATATGATTTATAAAAAAACAATTAATTGTTAATTTAGATAATAGGGTTTATTGGTATTGGGGTACTTGCACATATGACCCATAATTTGAAGTCAAATGCAAAAATAACCTTTTTTTCCCTCTTCAACAAATGCCATTTTCTTCCTACTATCTCCTCACACCACATATATTCACGAAAAAGCCATTATGTTTTCAATTTTTATTTTTTTCTAAAAAATACCAAAAATACACAACCATCCTAAAATATATCACTTATTTACGAAAATGTCATATTCTTCAATTTTGCCAACCACCATTACCAACCAATTTTGAAGCTTTAAATGTTTGCCCAACCAATTTTGAAGCTCTAAATGCTTATTGTGTCGCTTATAACTTCATTTTACCTACAAATTTCTCTCCAATTTCATCTAAAAAAACTTTTTCATGCTCTTTTTCATAATTTTCAATTTCATAAATCATCTATTTTTGGAGATTCTTGCATAACAACGACTTAGCTAGTTTGCTATCGGTGCTATACAAAATTCTGGGTGTATGTCAAAGTTAATCGAGTTTAAATTGGAAGTAGGTAAACATCTACTTCATTTTCTTTAACATTTAGCTCTGTTTCGCGAAAGCAGACTTCTTTTTCAGTCTGTAGTCAACGCAAAGGTTAGATTTGCAATTGACTTTTTTCATATTTTTGTAAGCAAACTTCAAAATGAAGTCTGCGAATTGTCCTTTGTAAACAAAAAAAATCATGTAGACTTCTTTTGCAGTCTGCGAGAAGAAAATATTAGTTTTGCATTTGACCAAAAAAATTGTCGATCTTTGACTTTTATAGCAGACTTCTTTAGATGTCTGCTATTTCGTAGTTTGACTCGAAAGGTTATTTTTGCAATTGACCAAGATTTTGACCACTTTTGACTTTTATAACAGACTTCAAAAGAAGTCTGCTACCAAAAAAAATAGCAGACTTCTAATCTGCTATTAAATTAATTAAGATTCGGTCAAATGCAAATCTGACCTACAAAGAAGTCTGCGCATAGCAGACTTCTATGCGCAGACTTCTTCGAAAGTCAATATTTTGGTCAATTGCAAAAATAACCTCGAGTAGACTTCTTTTGTAGAGTAGACTTCATAAGCAGACTTCTCTACTATAGCAGACTTCTTTACTCATTAGCAGACTTTTGCTCTAAAAGTCAAACTTTTGGTCAATTGCAAAAATAACTTTTTTTTTCTCGCAGCCTGCAAAAAGAAGTCTGCTACGAAAAGTCAAATATTTGGTCAAATGCAAAAATAACCTTTTTTTCTAGAAGACTTCAACGTGAAATTTTCCCAGCGGACTTTGAACGGATGTCTGCATTTAAAAAAAAAATAAAATGCAATTTTATAAAATATTTGTAATGTTTTTTTATTTTTTAAATTTGTAAATGCATTTTAGGTATGATTCTTTCACTTGTATGAGTTTGGTGTGTTTATGTGTTATAATTATAAAGTTATGAATTTTCTTGATTTAAAAGGTAATTAGCACATCTCAGCAGACTTCTTTTAGAAGTTTGTAGATGAAGTCTGCTGTTACGTATTAGCATATCATAGCAGACTGCATAAGAAGT